GCAAGGGCCTCAGGCTCTAACTCTTTAGTTCGCCTCGCCAAGTGTGGCTTATCCTGAGAGCGGTTTGAAGTAGTGTCGCTGAAGGTCTTGGACTTCTTGGAGGTCTCTTGGGTTGGAGGGTCTGAAGAGGTTGCCCATTTCTAACTCACGGAGGCTGCAGCAAAAGATGCTGCCAGCAGCTTCTGCCTCGTTGGCACCTCAGACCGAGGAGGAGGAATGTCATTAGAGGTACCCACCCCGGTAGCAGATACCCTGAACTTCTTCTTTGGCTCCTCGACGACCACATTTTCCTCCCTGTCGGCTATAGGGGGCGACCACCTTCCTGAGGGATAGCCTCCTTACTTACCCTCTCTATGGCCTCCTTCACCCGCTTTCCTCCAGCGGATGAGAATTTTATGCCTTTGCGGCCCGCGATAGAAGTATTGGCCAGGATTGTGGCCATATCAGGAGTTGGGATTTTCCTCTTTTCAAAGTCACCTGCAAGCCAGGGATTACAAGGTCAGAAACAGTGCAATGCAAGTTCAGTACAGATTGAACAAAGATTATAAGTATTACCTCGAGGAGCCATTAATCCTAGATTTTCGAAATGTCGTTGAGGCACCACCAAATGACTAAAGTCACGCTCTAAAGAAGGTCGCCTGTAGATAGCGGACAAGATGTCCCAGTCGCTCTTGTCAAGAGAGAAGCGTTCGACTGACCCTACAAGAGGTAAATATGAATTAAAAGTTGGTTCAAACAAAAATGGCAGCAAAGGGAGGTGCAAGAATGACACTCACTGGGTTCGAAATTCCCCATTCGATCATAACAGATAATGGTAAACAATTCGATAACAGTAAGGTCAGAAAAATGTGCGAAGAGCTGGGCATCAAGAAACATTTCTCTTTTTCACATCATCCTCAGGCTAATGAACAAGTTGAGGCTGTGAATAAAACAATCAAGTATACCCTGAAAAGGAAACTTGATTCATCAAAGGGGACATGGGTAGCATAATTGTCCCAAGTACTCTGGCATTTAGGACCACAAGTCGAGCGGCAACGGGAGAAATCCCTTTTTCTATGACATACAGGGTAAAGGCTATGAGTCCGGTCGAAATAGGCCTTCCATCACCAAGACAAATACACTACAATGAAGAGACCAATGATGAGGCAAGATGCTTCGGGTTAGACTTCTTTGAAGAAATGAGGGATGAATCTCAGGTCAAGATGGCCATGTACCAACAAAAATGACCAGATATTATAACTCAAAAGTAAAGAAGAAGACATTCAGAATGGACAAATTGGTGCTTCGAAGGGTGTTCCCAGGGACCCTTAGTCCGAACTAGGAAGGTCCTTACCATATATCTGAGGAAGTTCGACCAAGAACATATAGAATCAAAGATATGGATGGGAAGGTACAACCTCATCCTTGGAACGTAGAGCACTTACGTAGGTACTACTAATCATGTAAACCATCGTATGAATCTCAAAGGCTAAGAACCTCGACTTATTTAAATTTTATCTCAAAGACTAAGAGCCTCAAATTGTTTAAGTATTATCTCAAAAGCTAAGAGCCTCGACTCATTTAAATTTTATCTCAAAGGCTAAGAGCCTCGACTCATTTAAATTTTATCTCAAAGGCTAAGAGCCTCGAATTGTTTAAACATTATCTCAAAGGCTAAGAGCCTCAAATTATTTAAAATTTACCTCAAAGGTTGAGAGCTTCGATTTATTTAAGTTTTATCGAGGCTAAAAGCCTCGACTTATTATTACAATGCTAGGCGTTTGAACGTTATCAGGTTGGTAACTTATTCGGGGTCAGAGTTATTAAACTTGTACATAACCGAGTTGAAGTTGGCACTTTGGAATAACACAACAAAAGTGAGAAGATGGTAGAAGTCAAAAACGAGGAAAAATCGAAGTTCATTAAAAGAAAAAATTACATTTACAGAAGGCCGAGGCCATTACACTTGATAAAATGTCGTGTTACTGGGGTGGGAGCTTAGGATCTACAAAAGGAACAATAGCATCAGGGGCCACTTCTTCTACGACATCCTCATCAAGTTCAATGACTTGAGGCTCCTCTGCTGGAGTTGGAGGCTCGGATTCCTCTGGCCCTTCTTCAAGAAATTCTGTCCTGAGTTCAGAGGTATCGTGTTGAGTATGCACCTCGATCTACTCGATCACCTCATTATAATCATATCGCCTCTAGTATAGGCCAAACTGCTGATATTTCTCAGTTAGATGAAAGTTGGCCAAAAAGCGATCCTCCGCCTCAGCACTAGAGCGTTCGGCCTCATTCCGAACCACCTCAATTTCTTCTCTCAGCTTGGAAAATTGGGAGGTCAACTCTTTTACTTCTCCTGCCAACTCTCCGTTTTCCTTATTGGCCCTTTCCAGGGCCTCGGCATTATTTTTTGGTGGATGTTAGACGTTTTCACCCGCTTTGTCAGCGAGGCCACTTTACCCTGAGATAAGTAAACCTCTTTCTTCAGAGCCTCAATTTCTACCAACGTAGAAGCAAGTTTTGCTGACTCCTCAGCCTCCCTTTTCTTTGAAGCCTCGATCTCGGCCTTAGTTTTATTGCCCAACTCTTCAGCTTGGGAGGCCTTGCTCACAAATTCGCGATTTTTTCTCTGAAGAGTCTTAAATAGGACCTCAACTTCCATAGCCACTCCAAAGTACCTTGACGCCTGAGCTACCATAGTGGCGACGACGACGTCCACAGAATCACTCGTCTCGATAAAATTTTGCCATTTAGGATTCCAAAATTCATCGTGACAGTCTAAATCTCTGGAAGCAACAAGGCAAGGGCCTCAGGCTCTAACTCTTTAGTTCGCCTCGCCAAGTGTGGCTTATCCTGAGAGCGGTTCGAAGTAGTGTCGCTGAAGGTCTTGGACTTCTTGGAGGTCTCTTGGGTTGGAGGGTCTGAAGAGGTTGCCCATTTCTAACTCACGGAGGCTGCAGCAAAAGATGCTGCCAGCAGCTTCTGCCTCGTTTGCACCTCAGACCGAGGAGGAGGAATGTCATTAGAGGTACGCACCTCGGTAGCAGATACCCTGAACTTCTTCTTTGGCTCCTCGACCACCACATTTTCCCCCCTGTCGGCTATAGGGGGCGACCACCTTCCTGAGGGATAGCCTCCTTACTTACCCTCTCTATGGCCTCCTTCACCCGCTTTCCTCCAGCGGATGAGAATTTTATGCCTTTGCGGCCCGCGATAAAAGCATTGGCCAGGATTGTGGCCATATCAGGAGTTGGGATTTTCCTCTTTTCAAAGTCACCTGCAAGCCAGGGATTACAAGGTCAGAAACAGTGCAATGCAAGTTCAGTACAGATTGAACAAAGATTACAAGTATTACCTCGAGGAGCCATTAATCCTAGATTTTCGAAATGTCGTTGAGGCACCACCAAATGACTAAAGTCACGCTCTAAAGAAGGTCGGCTGTAGATAGCGGACAAGATGTCCCAGTCGCTCTTGTCAAGAGAGAAGCGTTCGACTGACCCTACAAGTGGTAAATATGAATTAAAAGTTGGTTCAAACAAAAATGGCAGCAAAGGGAGGTGCAAGAATGACACTCACTGGGTTCGAAGTCACTCTTGTCCAGAGGGAAGCGTTCAACCAATCCTACAAAAGAAATGAATTAGAAGGTGATTCTAACAAAAAGGTGGGGAGGGCAGCAAAAGGAGATGCGAGAATGACACTCACTGGGTTCGGAGTAGGAGGTCGGAACTTTTACATAAGAGACAATGTCCCCTTTACACTCTTGCCACTTTCCCCGAACCGAGAACCAGGTCTCCTTCCATCCCTTAATAGAGGTATGAAGACCCGAGACAAATGGAGAATGTCCCCCATGGACACAACGAATACCACCCCTTGGAATCCCCATTTCCTAAAGATCAAGGTTGGTAAACTGTTTGGAAGACGTGGAGGGGCATATCCTCACCCAAGGAAATCTCCTTCCAGAGAATGAATGAACCTACTAACTGGGCCCAACCATTAGGGGCAATTTGGGTGGGGGCTAGTCCATATATTCTAAGGATGGCTCGAAAAAAAGGGTGGAGGGTAGACGAAGTCCGGCCTTCAAAAGATACTCACTAATGGCGACCCACCCCTACCTAGGAAAGAAGGCTCGCTCATCATGAGAAGGAGACAAAAGTTCTATAGTATAGGGGATCCTATATTTTTCCCTGAGTTTTGGCCAAATGGGTAGGGTCTACGCTAGAACGAATTTTGGCTGCACCCCAACTAACGTCGANCGAATTTTAGCTGCACCCCAACTAACGTCGAGGCACCTCGTCCCACCTCAATGGACCTCCTAAGGTCGGCTGTATTAGTTATCTGAACTCCTAGCCCAGTGGCCAATTGGGTCAAATCTATATCATCCCCAGAAGTAGAGAAAGCCACAAAACACAGAATATCAAGAGCTCGTAAAAAAACTTACTGGTAAAACAAAGGATTTACAGAAGGACGAATGAAAAGCAAAAAAAAAAAATTTTGAAGAAAAAGGACTGAAAAGCTTGAGAGGAAAAAATGTGAAAAAATTCGTACAAGAAAAGGAAAGAAAATCTCTCTAAGGTTTTGGCTTTTATAGACAAAACCCACTCATTCCTGGCCATTGGATCTCGATCCGAACTATCCAACCATGGATTAACAAGATTTATAATACAAGCCACTCATAATGTTTGACGTTTGGCCTTCAAGGGCTAAGATCTGAATGTGGCTTACAGCACCATCACACATCTGAAGTCTTGTTAGAAAACATGGGAAGCAATCATCATTACGCATTTAATGTGGCGGCTATTGCGTGTATTGGAAGTTGAAATGACCCCAGCTATTTTTCTTGGGAAGGTACCACGACATCAAATCATTGAGGCTCCATGATTAAAACGTCTCGTAAATCTCTGGATGGTTGGGAAAGTAACAAATCCTCGTAATCATCAATTCGAGGCTAATAATTGTTCATGCTTCATTTAAACAAGGGAAAGAGCCTTGGCCATTTCAGAAAGTTTGAAGAGATCTCGTTAACAAAGCTCTAAGAGAGCATATTCTTCCAGAAGCTCTAAGAGAGCATGAAGCTCTAAGAGAGCGTATTCTTTTAAAGCTCTAAGAGAGCGTGAAGCTCTAAAGAGCATATTTTCTAAGGCTCTAAGAGAGCATATTCTGTTCGAAGCTCTAAGAGAGCGTGAAGCTCTAAAGAGCATGTTTTTCTGAGGCTAAGAGAGCATAATTTGTCAGAAGCTCTAAGATAGCGCAGTGGCTCTAAGAGAGCATTCTTCCTGAAGCTCCAAAGAAGCACGAAGTTCCGTAAGGACATCTTTTTAACATGAAGCTCTATCTCACTTTTACTTTCAAGTCCACGCATTACATAAATAATGGTGCCTAGACTTGGAGGACTATTGTTATCTCCCGGTTTCGGGGTATAAAGAAGTAAGGCCATGTAGCACGCCACGTAGGCAAGACAGTCAATGAAAAGCCAAAAGGAGGCCCAACGGGTCAAAGATCCCAGTAAGGCAATAGGCTGAGGTTAAGCGCTACGCACATGATATGAAGGGTCCCACATTGTCGACATGACATTGACTTAGAGGGTCCTCTAAAAAAGATAGCATGGGCTTTAGTCTAAGGAGTCTCGGATTGGAGGTCCTCATGTGACGAGCCTCGGACTGAAGCACTTCCTCAGACGGAGCACAATCCAATCTGAGGCTATAACAGGGTCATTCGAAAGCCATAAGCCAACGTCGCCTCAACAGATTTGAAGATTTCTTAGAACTGATTGATGGGACGTCCGCAGTAAAGTGTCAACAACTTTTCAATGGATGTGATGTGAAGCTTCAGTTTAGGAGATGTTGCCATGTGGATCTGATCCAACGATCACCACGTCATTAGAACAATATAAATAGTCTTCCTTTGTATAGAAGAGGGAGGGCTTTTTTATGCACTGGGCTAGACTAGATTTTTTTTTTGAATAATACAATCGATATTGAAATCACAACATATTACAAAAGATTTCCTTTTTTTATCTATCCTTCCACATATTCCATGAAAAAAACGGATACTCGTTTTAGGGAAATCGATCGAGCTCTTGTAGATAGCACAAGAGTCGTTAAAATCCAATCACCGGAGCTTGAACAGTTATGCCTCTCATCGGAAAGCACCTCCCGCGTTCTATTCAACCATATTACCGCTTCAATCCCGATAGAAACGCGCCGGATCATTGCTTGAAGTGGCAAGAGTATGCCCGGTATCTGTTGAGTTCATTTTTTAGGGTCAACAGTAAGTTTTTTTTCTACCATCCTTCTGTTGGGATAGCGTGACTCTTAAACATGATTTTTACATCTAGGCAAAACATTTTGAATACAAGCAAACAAACTTAAATTCAATTACTTAACACTGTAATTGCGTTTTTACCACATCAAGTGGCGTTGTTATAGCAGCCGCCAATGCTTCTGCGGCTGCTCCAGTAGTAGCATGAACCACTAACCTCTCATCACTCGCGCTCGCTGGAGAAATTTCTATCAAACCCTTTTTTGCCACTTCATAGGTGGTAAAATACACTACCGTAAAAGGTGCATTCATTATTACGATGATCCTATAAGATGCATAAAATGCCCTAATCCCCTCCTCTCTCAATACTCTCCTCACGCAATCCCACACCCCAATATACGCACTGCTGCTCAATTGCAGCCTCTGCTTCACCATATCCATAGGAGTAAACACTGCATCGCTACAAACAGTAGCAAACACCCCAGAAACAGCTTATGCCACAGAATTATTCGGACTTCCACCAGAAAAATTCTTCTTGCAAACTTCATAAACAGAAAAATAAACATGTGTCGGGCCAGCCCTAGGGCCCATAGCTCTAATACCACGGTACAGCCCTTTTGGGCCCTCAGATTTGAGGACAGCTCCAAACACCGCATCACTACAACAAATTGAAGATTCTAACATATATAGTAATATCAATTCTAATAACAACAAAGAAGTGTAAGGCTCAAGAGGTGAAGCTTAAGTAGGTGGCCAATGCCTTGGCGGTGGAGATGCACGACGGATTGGTATCGGAGGGCGGGACACGAATGAGTGGAAGTAGGCATGAATTAGTTTAGTGTTTGGTTTATTTTTTGTTCCTATCATTTGTACCTGTATGTAATTTAATTTGGCAAAAAGGTACAAAATTTTTCAAAAAATTAAATTTTTCGCAACAATTAAAAAAAAAACGTTGCAAAAAGTAATATTTTCGCAACAGTCAATAAATGTTGCAGAAAGCTTTATATTGAGAGTTTCAACAACAGGTCATGAACGTTGTTATAGAACCAGATTTCAATAACGTTCAAAAAAGGTTGCAAAAACTTAAAACTTTTGGCAACATTTATAAAACATTGCAAAAGGCGATATTAGCAACATTTATTTAAAAAATGTTTTGAAAGCTCAATTATGTTAGCCAATAGCAACATTCACTTGCTAAAATGTTGCGATAGATTCTTTTAGCAATATTTGATCAACGAATGTTGTCTTTTGTGTGTTACAAAAGACCATTTTTAGTGTAGTGAATGTTAACTATGTAGAAACATCCTCCAGAAATGATTTTTCTATCATCCATGTTTCCTGTCTGGTCAGCACGATTATATGTTGCAAGATGTGAATTTGAGTCATTAGTATACCATAAACCAAAGTTCAAAGTGTTGTAACATATCAAATGATTCTCTTCACAACAACCAAGTGTGACTCTTTTGGTTTGGCTTGGTATTGTGCACAAACTCCAAATTGAAGGTTATACCAAGACAACTTATAGTCACGTATAGGAGACTGCCTATCATGCTCCCATATAAGCTGGGGTTGACATCCTTGTCCGATCATCTCAGCAGATTTTTAGGGATGTGGCCATGGGAGTCTCTACTACTTTGGTGTTTTCTAGGCCAAACTTCTCTAACAAAGTATTGATAGCTCCTCATCTCTTGTATCCTTTCTTTAGTGAAAACATTGTCAATCGTTCATACTAGGTACGAGGAACTTGTTTTAGTTCATATATTGCCTTTTCAGTTTAAACACATGATCGGGGAAGATATGGATATACGAATCCATTTGGTTACTCAATATAGGCTTCTTCATTTAAGATGCGATTCAGAAAGGCACTCTAGATATCCAACTGTTAAGAGTTTGAATCCCATTTGGCATGCCACAGATAGTAGAAGTCTAATGAATTCAAGTCTAGCTATAGGTGCAAATGTTTCATTGAAATCCACCCTTCCACTTGAGTGTATCCTTGAACCACAACTCTAGCCACGGGTGCAAAAACATTTGAATAGATTATCATGCTCCTCTGACTTTGTCACCACTTCCTTATTGTACTCGGTCGTAATCACCACTTGAATTAAGAATCATCATTCTTAACTTCATGTCAGTAGCATGATCAATAACTGAATTGCACATTATGCACAAATTTGTTTTGTGTTCTCCAAGGACTTTAAAAAAATGTTGGCTTCGAAAAATATTTAATAGAGCATCTGTCATGTGTACTTGCTTGAAGACGACATGACCGTTGCATGCTAAATCATGGATGGAAGTAATTTTCCAAAACTTAATTCATTCCTTAATTAATTAGCTTATTTATAGGTAAAACAATTATCAAATATCGAAATTAATTCTTACCTAATAATAATCATTAAAGACGGTTTGAAAGCAGTATATAGAGAAACATGCAAAAAAAATATTCTAGATTTTTTAATAGATTAAAATAAGGAAAGATAATATTAATTTAATCTAACATTATATTCACCTAAACAAATATGAAAATATCTAGAATGGTATATTATATATTCTATACGAGCTGTAATTGTGATAACAACAAACAATATCCTGTTAAAATTATAAGACTATAAAAATCGTAGCTTAAAGATTCTGGTTGAGCCACTTAATATCCAATCTGTCTGTAACAACTACTGGCAAAACTTGTAACATTTTTTCTCACAGTTTTGACAATTGATTTTCCAAAGTGTGACAATTAAAAATCACCTATTGTATTAAGTAAATAAATAAATTTTGTGAGAATATTACATTTATTTTTTCGATCCGACACCATAAAGATTTTAGTAATTGTTGAAATTAATTCAATTGTGTTCATTCATGTAAAGAGTATTTAAATGCTTTACAAGTAGCCCACATGTGATAAACTTCTACGACAATGTGATAGACTTCTACTGTTACAGGAGATAAAAACAAGTGACAAACTTCTATAGTTACAAAAGTTCACAAAATCATTATTGGGCCATTAATGTTTATATCTAATATATACTTCTCATAAGTCACATATAACAACCCTTGAGCCTTTAACATTTTCCCAATATATGTAACACCAAATTCGTTTCTTAAGTTCCTCACAACCAGGGACAGATTCATGATTTTTTATAGGATGGACTGGAAATACTTAATAAAGTGAATGTAATAAAATTTATATGTACTAAAAAAACTCATTAAAGAACATTATTTATTTAAGCCGTTCCCGACGAGGATTTAAAATATAATAGAATCTAGATCTATTTTTTCCACAAGTTCTCCTTCTATAAAAAAGTATCATACAATCAGCATGAAAATCATCCTCAGTTTTCTTGCGAATTGATGTCTTTACATGTTTCATTGCTGAAAATGTTCGCTCAGTACTTGCGGTAGAAACAAGTAATTTCAATGCAAGACGAATCAATCTAATCACCATAATGTAAGACTTCGACCTTCCACTCTCAGTAAACTATCTTCATAATTCAGCAAGTGTAGATACTTTAAATCGGGATTCTTCCTTCATATCTAACTCATATTCCAATGTAATAATATCTTGCTTTCAAAAATCTTGAGGATATAGTTTAACTGCAGGTGTGGAAATTTTACTACTGTCAACTGATCTGAATGAATCTTTAGGATCTAAAGCTGCACTGAGAGAAAAGAGTTCTACTGATATTTCATTAAATCTTATATTTAACTCCATCATTACAAAATTTATTGCTTCATAGAAACATCATAGTGATAATAATGCTCAACTGTAGTTTCATCACTAGAATGACATGTGTTATACAAACTTTCCAGGTTAGGTATTGTAATATCATTTTTTGAGCAAAAAATTCTTCTGAATCTTCATCACTCAATTTCTAAAATAATTGTTTAGTGGTAGACACAAACCTCGAAGCAACCAAGATGTCTTGAGATCTTTTTAGAAGGGTTTGACAAAGAACATCAATGAGTCTCATTATTCTATGCATCAAATGCAAGATAAATATGAACTTCAAAATCACAAACTTTTTGTAAGCACCACGAGTTTCAGCTTGAGATCTGCTATTTGAACAATGATCACAAATATATTCAAGCACTTTGCGGGTTGCACCATACATATATATCAAGCTCTTTATAGAGTCATAATGTGAAGTCCACCGAGTAGCTCCCGACTATTGCAAATTAATCATTTGATTGGCCCCACTTCCAGATTCACTCTCCCTAGTAGCCAACATATGCGGAATTTCCTCTCTATAAGAAGATTGCAACTTAGTAGCTCATTTAAGATAAGAGATAATAATATTGATACAATCTTATCCAATGAGAAAATAAGCTCCAAATGACATGGACTTTAGCTATAGCGACCAATGTCAATTGTAATTGACGGGCAAAATAATGGACATAGTATGCATATTGACAATCTCTAAGAAATAATGCTTGATGTCCATTCCAAGCACTGCTCATGTTACTAGCACCATCATACCCTTGTCCTCTCATTTTGTTCACCTAAAGTTCATGTTGAGCAAGAACATCACATTTCATTTTTGAGATTCGATGATGTGCTATCACATTTTATGTTGAGCAAGAACATCACATTTCATTTTGATTGCAAAGAAATATTCTATCAAACTACCATGACTATTCACAAACCTCAAGATAATGGCCATCTGCACTCGGTTAGATGCATCTTGTGCTTCATCAACAAGAATGCAAAAACATTCGTCCCAACTTCCTTTCAAAACATTCATCATACTCTATTGTCCATAAGATGCAAAATTTCTTTTTGAAAAGATGAAGCAATGTATTGGGCATTTTGTGGTGCATTTTCCAAAACAACTTTACTAATATCTAGATTCAAATCTGCTGTGTACTTTATTAGTTGTACAAAATTCCCACGATTAAGTGAAGATGAAGATTAATCATTACCTTTGAACCATAAATCTTGAAATGCTAGCCATCAAACACTTTCAATTGAAGTCATTATACGCAAATGATGTTTTCGAATTTCCTCTTCCGATACATTATTCATCGCCTTGTCAATATGTTGAGATGGTCTAATAAATCTTTAGCTCTAGTCTCACACTATTTATGATATGTTGAACTAGCATGAACAAGAAATGCACATTTATTTCCATCTTTAACCATCTTCCAATTACTATATCCTTCAGTAACCAATCCCAAACAGTTAGACGAATTGCCATCTTTCCGAAAAAGAAAGCAGTAAAAACAATATCCCTTTTAAGTTGAAGGAGAATACTCCAACCAAGGAAATTCAATGAACCATTTTTTCTAAAGGCGACGAGCTTGTTTTTTCATTCTACCCATGGATACTCATTAAGGTTCAAATTTTATATGTGCAATTCTAATCTTACCTTGTAGATTGGCACGATGTTCAAACATTTGTTTTCTTTTTTCTCGGATCACGTTCAATACTAGTACACGATTGCAAGTTAGGAGTTGAGACTAGCAAAACTTGAAGAATTTCTGATTAAGAACTAGAAATATAGACAATGGAAATTAATTAGTTAAAGAATTTCAAGAATTGTCTTCAATTCCATATAAAGCCATTTTTACATCCACATGAAATGGCAATAAACCATCCAATTGACCAACTCATATAGATTTCGACTTCAAAGAACTAATTAATTTGGAGTGTAAAGACACCAAGGGGCAGTAAGCATTAATTTGAATGAATTGGAAATTAATTTATAGATTTAGGATTCAAGCAAGGGAAGAAAAGTATTAGCATTGTTGCATATTTCTAGAATTCTCTAGACTAACTTGCGAAACAAGAGAAGTTTAGGGGTTAAAGAATTATCTAGAATTCAGTGGAGAT